TTAAACTCTTAATAATGGTTACATAAAATTACTAAATTATATTGCATTCGAAATAATTATTAATTATATTGTTGTTTTTGTTAATATATGTGTAAACATATTTTTTTTTTTTATTCGCTGAGCTGGAAAATTCATTGAATTTATGTTATCTTTTGTTTTTCGTTTATTTATTTATTTTCTTTTCTCTTTTTTTTTTTAACTTTATTATTTGTAGATATAATGTATTGAAATTGTGGTTGTTGTTGGTGTGTTTGTTGTTGTTTTGTTAATAAAATATTAATATCATTAATTTGTTGTTGTTCTTCTTGTTTATTTAATTTTTTTAATTTAAAATTTGAAATTTCATACAAATACTGTTTATTCATTTATTTATTTATTATCATTAATAATATATATATATGTATATAATGTTGTTATTTTTATACAAATGTTCACTTAAAGGTTAAAATTTTCCTAATTCTTTGTTATTCTATTCTTTTTTTTTTGTTTCTTTTTTTTTTTTTAAGTGTTTATGTAAAATTTTCGTTCTCTGCGTTTGTGATTAAATAAATAATTATATAAACAAAAAAAGCAATGATATTAAATAACAGAAAATTGCTTTTAAATTACAAAAAAAAAAAAAAAAACAAAACTAAATTAAATTGTACTAAAATTTAATTTGTTTATAAATCCTTTTTTTTTTTTCTTTAACGGCAGTTCTTCTTGTTGTTGCAGCTGATGATATTTCAAAACAAAAAAAAAAAAAAAATCAAAATTAAACATTGATTTCTTTTGTTCTGCTTATGCTTCTCTTAATATGTTTTTACATTTTAAACTTTTTGTGTTCCTTTTATTTTGTTTTTTAAAGCATTCCGAGCTTTGTATAAAAATTGTGGAAAATAAACTTTGGCACATTCCAAAGGCATCATATTTTTTTGTAATCTTTTTTCTTCTCCTTTTTTTTTGTTTTATTTTTGCTCTTGTTTTCTTTTTTTTTATTTTTAGTGGCATTTTTCATGTATTTAATATTGCTATTTAGTTGCTCTAGTGAGTGAGTGAGTGGTGTTTCTTTGTATACCTTTTTTTTTTTTTCTTTTTTTTTTTTTGCAAAGGGCTAGATAAAGACAGAAAGAAGATCTAACAAACAAAAGTTTGCGCAGTTAGTTCTGAAAATGTCAAAGAGATGGAGAATTTATTCTAAGGTGTATGAAAGGATATATAATTGGTCCCATTTATTTTAAGAGGAAACCCAAATGTCAAAAAAAGTGAATGAGTGAAAAGGAGTAAGAGAGAGAGAAAGAGAGAGAGAGAGAAACTGCCTTAAGTAGGAAAACTGTTCTCCTCCATTATTCTACTTAAACCAAAACCATAAAAAAATCTTTTTAATAATTCAATCCCGCTTTCAGTCAATAAAGAGAAATAAGAAAAAAAAAAATTAAACTAACAATGCCGTCCTCGCCATCAATTATTGAACATCTGCGCTAAAGACTAAACAAACATGAAAATTATCCTACTTACTACTCTCGGCTGACGAAGCTTGAGTGACTTACCCGCCCGCTCCCTTCTATTTCGGACAATGTTCGATGACTTTTTTTGTTGTTGTTTGAATCCAATGTCTGATCTGCTGTAAGTAACAAGTGACAGCATTTTAGTGGGTCAGGGCTCATCATTAATTGTCCTAGATCATCTAACCGATGTTAGTGTAACAACTTTTCAAAATGATGTGTTTTATGGGCAATGCTCGAAAAAGTCGTCCGATCCGAACCATTTTTTGTAGCGTTCATTGGAGTAAGAAATCTCATTAACATAGTGGATGATATAAAAAAAAAGGTATCCATGATGTCTTACCGCTAGATTGTGTTGATGCCTATACGTTGGGCAAAAGGTGACATTTCAGCTTACATTTTGTATGAAGATAGTTCTCTAATTCTTTGTTTGTCTGAAAAGTTACGTTGATTTGAAAATGAGTGAAATAAACAAAGTACGCCACCTAATGCTCTTTTACTATAAAAATGGTAAAACAGGCAAAAACATGCCGAAAAATTTGCAAAGTGTATTATCAGAATGCTGCGGGTAAATGAAAGGCTCAGGAGTGGTTTACTCGATTCCGTTCCAAAGAATTTGATGTCAAAGATGCACCTTGCGCTGGTCGGCCAGTCACTGCAAAAGTCGATGAAGTTTTGCAACTGATGGAGCAAGACCGGCAGGCTGCTGAAGACACTAAACGTCAACCACATGACCGCAGATTGCAAAAAGAAGCTCAAAACTGCGGAGACCTTTTATATCACCCATTGTCTCAAAAATTTGTGACTTGTAGTTTGAATAAAAAAAAAAAAAAACAAACAAGACGGATAGACGGACCCGACAAGTTTAACAGAACCGTTTTTTGAATCGATCGATATTATGAAATGTGGCTGCAAGTTAAACAAAAGAAAACAGGATGGACAGACGGACAAAGGAGGTTTACTACACCTAAAGACGCGTTTATCTCAAGTCCCCCTAATCGCTGTACACACACATTCACATAAACTTGGACCACAAGTGATGTAGGATATAAATATCTATAATCGTTTTATTCCTTCTTTATACCTACTATCGAGAATATTTTCGTTTTGCTAAATAGCTTATAAGACATCGGAGTATATATATAACGAGTTCTATTTTAACCTAATAATATGCTTTGAAAATTTTCATACCCATCATAGGGGACATGTAAAACTTTCCAAAGACTGCCCATATTCTTATATCAGCCGTAATGATGGCGATCAATGAGAGACATATTTCCTCTTTTGCCAACCTAATGAATTAACAAAATGCTTTGGAATTTTTATGGTTACTATGGTGGATGTGTTAGATTCGCCAACTATAAGAACAATAAAGCTTCAGAACTTTCATAAAACGGGATGCATTTCGTTGAATCGAGGTAAATAGCAGAATCAATTAAGACACTTTTTCCATTTTTAGCAATTTATTGGTTTAAAGCAAGTAGGAAAATTCTATTCCGCCCCGCCTCGGAATCTTTTGTACTCATTACCGCTATCCTAAAAAGGATTAAAACTGAACTTCCATGCACTATTATATTGAGTGGGCGTGGCTGATTTTTTCCATTTGCTTGAATAAAAGTCAAAATCTACATCTCGTGAACACAGAAAGCAAGCGGATTCCCGCTTTCTGTTGCATAGTTATGTGGGCGTTGTGGGCGTGCCTTTTGACACCTATCGATCATTTTCAAGTTCTCTTGCAAATTTGTGGGCGATATATTTGCATTTTTGCAAACGCGAGAATGTTTACCACAGATACTACACATTTGGGCAGACGGACAAATGAACACAGTTGAGAAAACGGAAATAGCATTAAAAAAAAACAATCTTTATTTTCTTTTAGAAAAAGAGAGGTATTCTGAATGTACGTGGTAATGTAGGCGCGTCCCTCTTGTCAAATCTGAAGTCGACAACAGAAGATTGCTTGTCATAGACATTGCACAGATAGACAGATAGGCAAAAGAAAAGACATGCGTAGAACTTGATGCTGGTCTAAAACATAAATACTTTATCGTGTCTCTGAGGTTTTGGATAGTGCAAACCGTGTATATTTCTCAAACAAAAATGAGTACACTCCTCAAAAGTTTGCAATTTTTATATTCACTATAGAGAATACATTATCTTAGTCCAATTTTATTAAAATTAGCGGAGACTCTCCTCCCTTCATAAGATAAAAGTAATCCGGAAAGACTGACAAGCCGATATGCAAAAAAAGCAAGAATGTATGTACTTTATAGGATCTCTGAGGCTTGCTACTCGGTATTGCAAATATTTTGGACAAAACGAATATTCTCCTCCGTATGCTTTGGTGATAGATATAAAAATAGTTTGCAATTTTTATATTCACTATAGCGAATACATTATTTTAGTCCAATTTTAGTAAAATAGCGGAGACTCTCCTCCCTTCATAAGCTAAAGGTATTCTCGTTTATTAGGAGAGACGGAAAGACTGACAAGCGGACATGCAGAATAAAAATGCATGGGATCTTTTCCTCATGGACAAATGAATCCACCACCAAAGGATGAAGGCTATAAAAACAGTTTGCAATTTTTATATTCGTTAAAGGCAAAACATTAGCTTAGTCCCGAAGACTCCGAAGACATCTGTTTTCTCCTTTATAAGGGGCGATTGCTGTAGATACGTTTATCTCTTTGCTTACCAACCCGCCCATGTTTTCTCTTAACCGCAAGAATTATATTATGAGCTTAATGTTAGTAAAAGACGAAGTACAGTCATCTCTCTCTTCAAATGTTTCGTTAAGCAATTTTTAAATTCTACGATTCAAAAAAAAATTCTTTTTTTGTTTTGAAAACTTTTAATCTAACGCTAATATGCGTTTTGACCATAGACAAGATTATCCAACTTTGTAAGTAGTGGGGGGCGGTTAGATAATGCATCGATTGCAACATATTGCGCTAATTTTACATTTTTCTTATATGAAAAAAAAAAAAATAAATAAAAAAAATAAAAATTTTCAGAGTTGAGCTTAAAATAAGAAAAAAAAAGAAAACGACTTTTTTTTTTTTTGTCAAATATTATTTAAGAAAAATCTTTTGAAAATAAATTCCAAAGATTCAAAAAGTAATTCTTTAGAAGTGTAATTGAAAGATCGGTTACTTTTGCTTGAACTTCGAATTTGATATTTTCGTTTTTGAAAATAATTAGGAGATAATTAACTAAATTAAGATAAACGTATAGCAGTCTAATTAGTTAGTACATGTTTAACGAGGTGAGGGTATGTATATAATAATTTTTTAAACTTTTTACTTCATTTTAATAGAAAATTTCAAAAATACACATTTTCAAAAGTGTAATAATTAATATATAAAAAATTGGAAAAACAATACAATCTTTTTTTTTTTTAACAACTTTAAGCTTAAATAAAATTCATAAAAAAAGCAAAAATTATAACGTGTTTTCATAATCATAATAATGATAATAATCATAATAATAATATAATAATAAAAGGAAGCTATACAAAAAAACAAAAAAAACAGTTTAAAAAAAAAACCAACATTTAAAAAATATATTTTTTTTTTTGTTTTTTTTGCTCTACGCACTAGGGGTGGGGGTTGAAGCTGGTTTCGCTGTTGTAAGAGAATTTGAATTCAATTTTTGTGTACCGCTGCCGCTGCCGCCGCCGTTACTGTTGCCGCTATCCAAAGACCAATCCCAGTCCTTACCTTTGGGACGAAATTTCGATGATTTATGTTGTGCTGCCGCTGCCGCTGTTGTTGCCGGGATATTTGAGTTCTTCAAGCCAATACCATCGATTTGCTCGATACCACCATTGCCTTTCGCGTTGAGATTGGCATTGGCGGTCGCGTTGTTCGCATTATTATTATCCGTTGCCGTATTCGATGATGAATTCGAATAAGACATTATTTCATCGCAATCGTATTCCCAATTACGTTCACAGAATTTCTTTTTATAATGCTTTTCGGAGGAGGTTTTCGATTTGCGTTGATATTTAAGTGGAATTTTTAAATTATTTGTCGATTGATTTCCCGAATTTTCCATTGAATTGATTAAGGCATTTGTTAGGGGTGGTGGTGGCGGTGATGATGTATTTACCGTACTCGCATTTGGACTGGGTGTACGCGGTAAACCCATATCGGATAAGGGTGGACTTTCTATAGCCGTAGGATCGACGGGTGACGAACATCGTTTCAATGCTGTGGGCAACGAAGCATTTTCCGATTTCATACTACTATCGCTAAGATGATCCGAACAAACGGTCGGATGATGACTCAAAAAACTGCTATTACCGCTTGAACTGGTACTGCTACCGCTACTAATCGGTAAATCTAATTGCGATGATGTCGATGAGGTGGATAGGAATGTACGTGACGCTTCGGAATTACTGCTACTATGTGTAATACCGGAATCGGGTGAGGTGTTACAGCTAATCGATGACGGTACCGTATCGGTATCAATTGAACGTCGCGTCTTATCCAATTCCGTCGAAGCGAATGCTACTAAACGATCAAAACCCGAACTAACACGATGCTGCCAATGCGTTTCATCATCAGCTATAATATCATCTGTATAGAGAAGAATAGTAGAGAGAAAAAAAAAGAAGAAGAAGAAGAAAACGAGAATGAAATTTTAATTGAAAAATGTTTATACATTTTTCATTATAATTTTTTTTTTTTTTTTTTTTTTTTTGTTTTTTCATTTTGCAAATATTATGCAGCGGGAGGACGAACAATAGTTAAATAGAAGCAATGCTTATTATAGGCAGGAAGTTATGATTGATTTTAAATAGGAATGAAAGTGATATTATTAAAAAAAAAAAAAGTGTTTTTTTGTTGTAATTTTTAAAAGATTTCTATAAAATTTTATTTCAAATTATTGACTTTTCATACATCAATTAATACAAGTATAATAGAATGTACCTAAGAAGAAAAAAAAAATAGTAAAACAATAACAACAACATTTGTTAAATAATAATATCAAATATAATTGAAGTAAAAAAAAAAAAAATAAAAAAAATAAATTAAATTTCAAAATAAAAAAAAAAGAAGATATATAAACTAATTTCACAATAATCTTAACAGAAAAATTTGTATATATATTTTGAAATTCATTTATTACAAAAACAAGATATTTTCTATATCGGTTTAAGCCGTATCCTCACTACCCACTACTCAAAGAGTAAATTTCTTAAAACAGAATTCTTTTGTGATTGTTTTTCTATTTCCGCGCAGATTACAATGCATTTTCAGTCACATTTCGTGATATTAATATTTCTATGGACTACAGAGGGACAGAAATCTTTCGACAACGAAATGTCTTCAATTTTCATGCCCTACACCGTTTCTAGTTTGTGTGAATGTTTGCAACTCAAGCAAAAGAATTTCGCATGGACGCCCCCTTTTATTATATCGGCCTACATAGGATCACCTTCTGGATCGATCCGTCCGTCTATCCGTCTGCACCTCTTGTGGTCTTATATTTGCGCTACAGGCCATCATTTTTGACACGTTTTGATCACATTCGACATGTTTGTGCCCAAAGACGAAATCTCTTTAAGAATTATTCGGATCGGATCAACTTCTCGACTACTCCTCGTATAACACATCATATGGAACATATTAAGTTTATGCGGATGTATGCAAAACCCAGAAGGACTTAAGATATACCGGTCTTTCATTATATGGATCGATTCAGATTCACAGGCCTGTCTGTCGGTCCGCCCTGTTTTTCTGTCTTCAATCTACAAGTCACAATTTTTGAATTACTCTGTTGAAATTTGGTACACCGACATCTTTTGACCCAAGGACGAACGCTATTGGAAACCGTTCGGATTGGCCCAAGTTTCCTGTAACTTTGGTAATCTTAAGTTAGTCTTGCTATTGTAGTTGAGGTCGCTAGGTGGTAGTAGGTTTTGAAGCTGCAAGAAGCTAACGGTCTACTTAATTGCTGTAAACTACAAATCCTGGTGCTTGGGGAACTGTTTATTTCATGTGATGATTAAAGAAATCATTAGGCTGTTGCTCTAATGGTAAATTATTGGAAAAAAACGCCTTAAGGCTTTTTTAAGAAACTTAACCCAAGGTAGGAAATGAAAAATCATATTTCTGATCTTTCTTTGCGAAGTAGAACAACTATCGATTCTTCTACAACGGTCTAACAATTAAAGTTCCATGACTAATCTTGCTGCAGTTTCAATACGCATTTTTAGCTGTCAGCCATGTCAGGGCTCCCCTATGACGGCTACTCGAGTAATTCTATAATTCTTACAAACTCTTTTGATGCTCATCTCGACTGATTTTTCGAAAAGTGTTTTAACAATAAAACCAAAAACCATTCCTTACCCCAAAAAAGGATTGGGTTAAGTATCTTTGCTTGTTATGTTTTCAAAATAGAAGGGGCCATCGTGATATGCTTAAATAGTAAGATGCATCTTTTGCTCTGATCGGTCAAATTGTTTTCGATATTCACGAATTTTTCTTTTTTTAAATAACATAGGCTTAGGGGACTCCCGGTAGTGGGTATAAAAATTAACAAAGAAAAAAAAAATAATAATAGTAATAACAATAATAGTAATAATAATTAAAAAATTGAGGAACAATGTTAGTAAAAATTTTTGTAAAGAAAAAAAAAAAAAAAAAAAAAAAAAAAAAATAAATATAATAAATAAAAAAAAATTTATAAAAACCAAAAAAAAAAAAATTATTTTTTTTTTTTTTTTGTAAAAATTAATTCAAATTTCCTTAAAAATTTTTATTTTTTGTTTTTATATTGTTGTTGTTACTATATTTTAATTTAGACAGTCTTTAAACTACAACTATCGCCAACAACAATGCCAATTTTTTGTTGTTGTAGATTTGATTGACGGTGAAAAGATTGATGATCTGATTGTCGCGGTGGTAGGGTTGGTATTGGTGGTGGTTGTGGTGGTGGTGGTGGTGATAGTAGTACTTGTGGTTGATTTGGTTGACACGACAAGAGGTGACTTTGTGATTGTGTCGTTGTTGTTCTTGTTGCTGTTGTTGTTGTTGTAGATGATGAAATTTTAGGTAAAGCAAACTTTATTCTATTTCTGGGAATATTTACTACAAGGAAACCACGCCTATTTTCAGAATTTTGTTTTGAGGTAGTAGAAGTGGATTCCATTTGAAAACCTTTATATAAAAAATAAGTTTACAATCGTAATGCGTTCTTTTTAAAATAAAAAGGAAAAAAAAAAAACAAACAAAAAAAAAGAAAACTTAAAAAATAAAAATTTTATGATATCTTTTTTCATATGAGGAAAACAGAGAGAGAGAGAGAGAGAGAGAGAGAGAGAGAGAAAGAGAAACAGGAAAAGAAAGAAGTCTGGCCGTATTATGAATGATTTGTTATTAAATATGAATTTTTGTTTTTTTTTTCTTCTGCATGAGAAATAATTTTAATGAAAAATTATTAGAAAAACTTCGAATGAGGAAGGAGGTGTTTGTTTCTTTCTCATATATTAGACTTTTTGCACAAATACTTAAAAGTATTTTTCAATTTACGTTATATCGTAGTTGGGAATATCCATCCGGGGTTTTACGATTTCTTGTTCGAAGACCATACATCCAACATCCTAAACGCGTTCCGTTTATAAGTGTTGCATTTGGACTGTGAGAGCAGGACTGTCTAGCACTTTTTTACCATTACTAATTCAATGACCACAGTAGACCTTAATGTCATCATTCATCGTTTCTGATGAGACGAGTTACAGGCAGTAGAGATGTTACACTACTTTTTTAATGTAACCGGCGGCTTTGCTTAGAGAAAAGGTTAACAAACCAGCTATAGAATCGTTAACTTGTTAACTTGGTTATGAACTTTTTATTACAAGAACAAAAAAAAAGAGACAGGTAGGAGAAGATATAGATTGAGTAGCTTACAGCGGATGAAATGATAAACAAGATAAGCCCTTGAAACTAGAAGAAATATTCCCGACAACAGGGCGACAGGGAATAGATTCGAGCACGACTTTACCCCAATGATACCCTTAATAAAAAAAATGTTGACGACAACAGGGCAGCAAAAAATTGATTCGACCACGATCACACCTACGATAAAAAAATTATGTTCAAATATTGTCAAAGCTTTACCTCCTATCGTCAAATATTTTTTGATTTTTTACTGGTCAAATTGGGTACCAGTGAATAACAAAAAATAAAGGAGATAGCTATAAACGACTTAGCTGATCGCGTAATTGTCCACTGTTTGCAGCTGCTTATCTCAAGATTGATCAGTGGACTTTAATGAAGACAGCATTAGCTTTCTATTTTAAAATTTTCGTGGTCGAGAGAGAGAGTTCCAATCAAGAGGACGAAAGCAACGACCATCGGTTAAGCATAGTTAACTCAACATTCAATCTTAACAACAACATGTATACGTACATACATGGCAGGTGGATGGACACACGAAAAGCTTACCGTTGTTATTATGAATATTGTTAAGCATTGTCTTGATTGCGTACGGGTCAGTTGGCGAGTTGGGATTATTTTTGCAAACACACAAACGCCTCTATTTCGATAGACAGCCTTTGGCAGTCAATTATGGTTATAACATCACCATATTTTACCGATCAGGAACTTCCGGGCATACGAGTGAGAGAGACAAACAAACGGAAAGACAGGGGCGGACGCTAATCGGCTCGGATCAAGAATTTATTTAATTCATCGTGTTGGAAAGTAGAAGAATATTGTGATTCTAATTGATATGAGGGATGTATGAAAAAGAAATTAAAAGTAGGAATGGATTTCATAGATAAATTTGATGACAATTTAATGGCTAAATAAACTCAAATTTTTTTTTGAAGAATTTCAGCTCTAATCTGTTCTGGTTTTTATCTAGTTACATAGTGAATGACGACATTACTAAGGAATCGAATTCGAATGCGAGACTCTTTCAGAAGGACTTTTACGCGCCAGGTATATATAAGGCACGGTAACTAACATTACTTAACAGAGCGAGCGTGTTGTGCTGCTTTCAAAGGTGACTTTCTTTAGAATGTATGAATCAACTATGCATCCGCATACATATATATACATATTTATAATATGAACTAAATAATAATATAATTTTTATATGTATCTTAATTTTAGGGTGTATAAAAGAAAAGAAAAAGAAAAAAAAAAAAAATAATTTTCGTAATACAATATAAAAAAAAATATTATTTTTTTTCTTTTACATCATTTTTATGAGAAATACATTATTTTGAAAAAATTTATTATTATAATTAAAAACAAAGAAGAAAAACATATAACAAGGTTAAATTTTTTTTATTTATTTGTTTTTTGTTTTCATTTTGGTCAGCTGATCTCAATAATTATTCCTTATCTCGTTCATCATCATCATCAGTTGGGGAAAATGCTTGATCAATATGATTTTCAAGATTAAATACGCTGGGAGATGAGGAAGGAGATGAAAAGTTTGGTGAAAAAGCATTTACTGTGTTGCTGACAACAGTAGTGTTAGTAGCAGTAATAGTAGTAGTAGTAGTAGTAGTAGTAGTAGTAGTAGTAGTAGTAGTAGTAGTAATAATACAAGTAGTAATAGCACTAGTAGTAGTAATAGTAGTCTTAACAATTTCATGATCATTGCTTTTGTTATTATATTCATTCAGAACGTGATTAAGAAGATGTTCTTCTGTTTGAAGCAGGGAAAGAGATGGCACTAACGCAAGTGTTGGTGGTGATGAAGTGTTTGATAGGTCTGTTGTGTTGGTGCTTGTGCATGAATTGGATCGGTGGTGTTTGTTTATTGGAGATGATATTTGAGGTGAATTGTTATTATTGTCATTGAAAATTTCTAGCTTACCATCATCGGCGGCCCGCGCTGCTGCCCCTATTGGATTTGAATTGGGAGTAGAATTGCTGCAAGTATTTAGAGATGATTTTAATGATGATGACGAGGTAACGGACACAGATAAATGTTGTTGTTGTTGTTGTTGTTGTGGTATTACTGCTTGTTGTTTTAATGGCAGATGGCTATTATTGGCTTGTGGCAAATGACTATTATGATGCATTGGCTGGTGATGATTATGATGATGACCAAGTTGTTGGTGGTTACTATTGTTGTTGTTGTTGTTGTTGTTGTTGTTGTTGTGATGATGTGGTGTATGACGGGAATTCGGTATAATAGACATAGTGTTACGATTGTCATCAGCAGCCATTATGGAATTAATATCCGGGCTCATCAGTAAAGGTTCTAAAGATAATTTACTGTTGTTAACGCGTCGATTGCTATGACCAATTAACGATGAGTTAGGTGATAGCTGTTGATAATGATGCTGTTGCTGATGATGATTAACACCACCGTTACTACTGGCATAAGGATTACCTTGTGCTGTTCCTGCTGCCAGCCCTATCGGATTTTGATTCGGCGCTTCATGCGAATAATGCGGTATTTTGGCCGGTCTTGGTTGATGACTTGTATTGCCCATAGGCGATGTTCGCTTTACGCCGACTAAAGTAAAATTTATAACAACAAAAACATAAAAACATGTGAAATCGCCAAAGAGATAAAAGAGAATTTTTATTTATAATTTTCTTAAAAAACTTAAGGTTCTGGACAAAGTATATGCATACATATTGTTTGCATTATATATATGTGTAATTAGAGATTATGTAATCAGTAAAGAATGTGTTCAAATTAAAACTTACGTTCCACCTTCATAGGTGTGCTTGTATTGCCGCCGTTATTATGATTGGGTGTGGATGCCATTGTGGTTGGTGTTCCGTAGTTCGTGGAACCATAATGTTCATTACTATGGGGTAAATGATGATGATGATTGTGTAAGCCCCGACCATGCCCAACCGATGTGTGTTCATTTGATGTTGTTGCATTGGAAGCTGCGGCTGCGGCAGCTGCAACTCGCCTTTGTCGTTCTTCGTGCTCCTCTTTAAATTTTCGCGATGCCAACATTCGATCTTGCAGGGAGGCTGCCAAACCTGAAATCAATCGACAATCAATACAATTATATAGATTTTATATAAATATTTTTTAAGTGTCACTGCGTACCTTCTAGTGGAGGATTACCACCATTTAACCGATTATTTCTGTTCGTGCCATGACGTTCTTTGCTGCTGTTCGATGTGTGGGTTTTGTGTCCAATATGATTTGAGTGATTGTGATTTTGATGTTCATCCTGGAAATATGCTTCTATGCAAGGCTTCATTTCAGCACGCGGCAAAGCAACTGGTTGATAATCTCGACTTGCGTTAGGGGCTGATGTTGGAATAACGTTTGAGCTGTTATGAGCATTCGTTGCGTTATTGACTGCCTGATTCCCTTTACCTGTTGTGGGCAGATGATGATATGCTGATATATTGTTAACTTCGCGCTCTCGGGGATTTCCATTATTATAATGTCGTTGGCTATTATTGTTAGAAGCACTAATCGGATTTGTAGCATTCACCGCAGCGTTAGTGGGACCATTAATAGTTTTGTGTTGATACGCTACATGTGCCAAAGTGGCTAAATTGTGAGCGTACGGACTTTTACGTCCCGACGTTGTTGAGCGCGACGGCACTTCAGCGTAGGCGTTAATTGGAGGACCATTATGATCGTCCACTACGCGCACATGAACTCTCTCCGGTCGTTGAGCATTTGGATTTATTATCAAACGTTCACGTTCATTGGAACGATCTCGATCGCGTTCGCTACCAAACAGACTACGCTCGGCCAAATATGGATTACGTTCTCCCGACGCTGTGCCTACCGTTGACATATTCACGGCTGCATTGATGATGGATTGATGTGTAATTTCCAGAGTGCGTTCAATTTCCCCGTTTACTAAATCGCCAATAGTCTTGGTCGACATTGGCATAGAGCTATTCCCCAGTGAAGCACCGCTGCCTGCAGACGTGGGTGGCAGTTGTTGGTTAAGCTTTTCCTGAGACAGATGACGTCTCAAAGCCATCTTTGCTGGCGATACTTGTGTATAATCCGGTTGGGAAGAATTTGAACTTGGACGACTTGGCGGTTGCTGACCTAGGGATATATGTGAAGGTGGCGGTAAATTTTGTGAAACAGCTGATTCTCTACTGACGCTTCTTTCTAACGACATCAAACGATCACGGGTCGGTGGATAATAGGTTAAGGCGGAATCCGAATTTGCCGAGCTCGCTCTTACAGGCTCCTGCTCCAATAACACTTCGCGACTTCCTGAACGTTGTTGGTGATTTAAATGATTCTCTGTAACGTTGTTCGCCGCTATTGGTGGCGCTTTAAACTCCAGAGAAATAGGATGCAGATTAGCTGCATGCTGAACCTGATGATGATTGATATTTCCACCATTCCCGTTCATCATTACTTGCTGTTGATGTTGTTGACCATGTAGATGATGGTGTTGCTGTTGTTGTTGTTGAGCAGCCATAAACTGTTCATAATTTGCAGCGCTCACAGAGCTGCGGCGGCGATGTATCGACAAATCTTGGTTATGACTATTGCTGCTATACGGATGGCTAGTAGCCACATGTTGATGGTATTTTGACGTTTTCTGCGAGGCATTATTGGAAGACGTGGTTGCGGCAGAAGTAGCAATAGCAACAGAATTCAATATATTCTTGTTACTACTATACTTGTTAACGGCCCCATAGGCGTTATTTTGCACATGCGACGCTGATGTCGGTGGCGGTAAAGGCGGCGTAATGGGTGATATTGTGGTGGTAGCATTCAAATGTGTCATACCATGCGTGGCGACCGATATAATGTTGCTCAACGTTGAATTATTAGTGTGTCCAGTTCCTATATGTAGTGGTGTTGTCTGCTTGCTGCGCTTGGGGACTGGTGACTGCTGAGGCGATGCCGAAGCACTAATTTCCACATGTATCGGATGCATTTGATGTTGAGCCTTGCGATGTTCTTGGTCCTCATTCAGTGCCGAAGTGATAATACTCTTTAGACGATCTTCAAAATTGGCTACTTTCGGTGATTCTTGTATACCAAGAGCTGCATTGGTCGCCTTTCGTATGCCAGGCAATTCGCATTTAGGTAGAATACCAGCGGTTACAGGCCCATTTGTCGTTCTAGTCGTTGCATTAGCTACCTGTGAGTGCCCAGTTAAATTTGGATCTCTTTCACGATGTTTGGGAGCTGGCATTAAAGTGCTTGGATCTGGCTGAGCGTATGCTCCAAGCGTCGTGGGTATATGTTGTTCACTGCTATTCGAACGATGATGATGATGATGTTTTCGATACGCTTTATCTTCGGGATGATGATTATTATTGTTATTGTGATGGTGGTGGTGGTTGTTATTTAGAGAGTTGGCCAGTTGATGCTGCTGTTGTTGTTGCTGTTGTTTGCTTAAACCGGCATTGTTGAATTTCCCAGCTTCAATTTTCCGTCCGGTTTCAAGTATTTTTTGAGCTAACACTTCAGGATTGCTTTCTTCAATTTTGCCCACATCTGGTACGTCCGGCCATTCTTGGGAGCGTGAGCGATGGTCTCGGCTACGGCGCCCGGTCTTACCATGATTCGTTGATGTTTTCGTTACCGATATTGCAGGTGTTGCGTTTGGCATTAAGGAGCAGGCGGTTGATATAGAACAGGAGGTAGACGTGGACACTGACGTTGAGTTCATAGTAGTTGTTAGTTGTAAAGGTTGCTGTAGGTTTGTTGCAATAGACGACGGTGGTGGAAGTTGTGGATTAGTGGACAATGTTATATTGGTACCCTGAGCCATTAAAGCTGCCGCTGTTCGTTTATCTTCGGCTGCTTTTTCCAATGTCGATGCTTCCTTTTCAATATTTGAAACTTGCGCAACGAGTTTTTTACGTTGCGTTAATGTGTTAGCAATTTCTTTAAGCACCAGTTCATGAGCAGCTGCCTCTGACAGCTCAAGATCGTGTAATTTAGTTTTGCCGTTCATGCCTCCATAGAGTCTTTGATATTCAGGCAAATGCTGTAAATGTCTCTTAAGCAGTTTTCGTTGCTCCACTTCGCAGGCCGTTACTTGACTTTGTATCTTCTTAGCTATGCCTTGAAGCTCTTTATGACGGCCAACTATTTCTTTCGCCTTGGCGATCAAATCATTCGGCGAGGAAACATTTATGCCCAACTCATTCATACGTACTTTGAGTAAAGCCACGCTATCATCGATTAGCACCTTGATCTGCTTATCTAATTGAGAAGCACGATTTTTAATGCGTTGCTTGCGTTCTTGCTCCAGTTGTATTTGATGCTTGATATTCGGTATAAATGCCTTAGATTTCATTTGTTCAATCATGGCCATATATTGAGAGCGGAAGACATCCAAGAGTATTTGCAAGGCGTACGGTGTATCCTGAGGAGCAGTAGGTATATCCAACTCTTTATGAGCCATATTCTCCGTTAATAAGGAAGTCAATTGCTGATCAACACATCCCGGTGCTGGAGGTAATTTTTTGCTCATAGCTTCGACAGAAGTGGAAAGCACTGTTTCCTTGTGCAACATTTCGAGGCCAGCGATTTTAAGAGTTTTACGCCCCCGAGCGCCTTTCTTCATACGACCCTTCCGACCTTTGACACCAGCAGCGGAACTATTGCCACCGCCAGTTGAATAATAATTACCTCCCGTCTCATCTTTCGCTAAGTTATCTTTATTAACAGCGACTAATGAATCGGCTCGTTCCTTAGCAGCTGCCGCTTGAGCAACTACAGCGGCATTCTTATTAGCTATAGCCACTTTTCTTGCTAACTTCTTGCGCTTCTTTTGTGTGGCCGAACGTGCCGATCTATTATTAGAATTCGGAGCACTAATGAAATTGTTGTTTTCCTCCTCATCCGATTGCGAACTTTTTCCCTTTGAACTGCCCCAATCAGACCACGTTTTGCGAGCATTCGAAGGTCCACCACTACCGTTGCTATTACCGTTAGTAGCAGCATCGCCCTCGCTCTCCGTAGAAGTATCCATATCTAGATTGCGCGGTTGCTGTTGCTGTTGTCGAGTTTTCGTCGCCGCGGCCGTATTATTCATAACATTAGCCGCCGGTGAATTAGTGCGATTAGTGACGGGAAGATTAGAATTTGAGGAATTCGAATTATACGAATGACTTAAAGCGTGATTGTTGGCTTCTCTTTTGGCACGATCCCTCGTAGTACGTGTAGACCCACCTAAAGAACCATTTTGGAAAAATAAGAAGGAAAAAAAAGAAGATATTAACAGAAAGATTAAAGAGATTGTAGTCTTTAAAAAACAATAGCCGCACAAATAAAGTATAATAAAAGTACAACAAAAACAAAAAAAAAAAAAAAAAAAAAATAAAAAATAAAAAGGAAGCAACAAAAAGAAAGATGATGTTTTATGATTTGGACTATGATTATATATGTCTTTGAAGGTTAAGTAGGAAGATTTCTTTTTTTTTTTTTTATCTCCCTCTTTCTTTACAACATCATTCATCATCTTCTAGCCTAGTCCACATGTGCATGTAAAGTTGCTTAGAGGACGCTTCTCTTCTTAAGTATCCTATTTCCAGTACTTACCGACGTGATCATTGTCAGCACCTTTCTGAGTCTTTAAACGTTGGAAGTAACGCTCCAATATAGTACGATCGATTACATGCAAATAATATGAAACGGGCTTACATGTCCACGATACCGAACCTTTTAATGGTGGTATTTCACTGACATGCATAATTGTCCCGATATCGCTTAGATTACTGTAAGAGAACAAGAAATCAAATGAAATCTGGAAAAAAGTTGAGTAAGTTTTAATCGAAAAATTTACCGATCGGTTATGCGGAAGTTCAATGGACAAAATGATTTTGAAGATACTACACGGGCTCCATCTCGTAAATCGGCGAAACGTTCCTTTAATTGATGATCGACATTGGGACCGAAGGCGAAATTATTAACAAATACCAGTGAAGAACTTGTTATTTTCTCGCGATGTTCATCGACCAGAAAATCACCTTTAATTAATTTATATTCACAATAACGTTTACCGAACCAGGCCATAAATTGACGAAAGAACATATCCATACGATCGGCATAATGAGATGGTGTATCAGCCTTCTCTATACCTAAGCACGATTTTAATGGGAAAGAACCGGCCATTTGTAGTACGACTTGACCAACACCTGAACCCAAATCGATAAAGGTATCCTCGCCACTACAATTTACATGCTTGATCATCTGTTGGACCAGTTCATACGATGTTTCACCGTATACCTCTGGTGAGAATGGTTCGTATTGATTAAGCTTATCGGGATCGAGTACGGCAGCATTGTAGACTAGTTGCAATATATGTCTTAAAAGACTGGGATGAGCGAATTTATTAAGACGTTCAGCGGGCAGTGAGGTTCCTTTTTCCTAAGTAAAAAAAAAGCAAAAACAAAAGAGACAATCAATAAAATTTATTTGAAAAATTGAAAGCAGAAAGAGAGAAAGAGAAACTGATTGACTTACCAGTGCAACTATACTATCCACAGCCTTATTAAAACGATCGACAAGATTTGTCATAGTCTTATAGCAGGCAGTGTCAATTTTATTGAGATTAATCTCCTCGAATGCCGATGACATGCTGGGCAGCTCATCGCATACGAATTTAATTGTATCGATAATATCGATGCCATTATCGTGTCTATCTTGGCCGGAGCCAACTTGTAAAGGCCACGTAAAGGTAATTACCTCGGATGAACCAGCTGGCGAACGCAACACCAAGTCTTTGACTTGAGGTGTTGCCATATTTTGTTAAACGAATACAGGACGAATAGTACAGCTAATGTTGCTTTCCTCGTCTTTATTGCTATTGTATTTAATTTGGCTAACAATGATTATATTCTAGTTCTTTTTTTTTTGTTTTTCGTTTGGATAGAACACAGATGGGAAGATGAACAGGGAGAGAATGAAAGAACAAGAAGAAGAAGAAGGAGAAAGAACGGCAGTTTCCTTTTTCCCCTTTTTTTGTATTAAATCTTGTCGCTATACACGGGAGGCTGAGATCGATCGTCAATTATTCGCTTTTAATAATCAGCGCGTCTGATGAATGTATCTTGTTGATGATTGATTGATTGATTGATTGATTATTGGTGGCACTTGGTTTTTAAGAGTATGAAATCAGTACTTTGCCAGACTCGGTGGGTATTTTTAATTTTCTTCTTTTTTTTTTTTTTTCGTTTATTTCTTTTTTACAAGAGATTTCTTTTGGGCAGTTATACGTTGTTGTTGTTGTAATTATATAATATCTTATTATTCTCCAGCTTATGTGTTACGTTTGTAAAAAACAAAAACTTAAGATGAAGAAATTAATCGTGATTGAGTGAATGTAACGACGCGGAGTGTTTGGTGTGAGAGTGTTACATATATATATATAGGCACAAACGCACACAACAAAATGTACATACAAAAAACAATAGCAAAATATTTTTGAATTTATCTTTTTCCTTCTTTTCTTTCCTTTTTGTTGCTTTTTTTCTACAAATTTCGTTAATTTTTGCCGGTTTTTATTTTTATCATTAATATAAGAAACGCTCTTTAATTATTGTTGTTGTTGATTTTGTTGCTGATCTTGCCAATGGTGGTGGATAACGACGATGATAATGATAATGATGATGATGATGATGACAATAGTAGAGTAGTAAGACAGTGACGATAATAATGCTGCTGTCGATATTGATGAAAAAAACTCTCATAAAAGTATAATAAGCGAACGACAAATTTCAAATTTAAACGCTCTTGGTGTTGTTGTCGTCGTCGTCGTCGTTTCGTTTCGATTGTGTTCCGTGCCGGTGTTATTGTTTGTTTGTTCTTTTTTAATACTCCTTCTTTATTAATGGTAGTAGTGTGTTCAATAGCAACAACAACAACAATAACAGCAGCAGCAGCAGCAACAATAAGAACAACAGCAACAGCAACAACAACAAAATATAACAATAACTGATGATAGTTGCGTAACTTAGTATTTTGTTGTATATTAAGAAAACGATGCATTTTCGCAAGAATACAACATTTTCAGCAGTGAGAGTGTTAACGTTTAGAAGAACGACAGTGAGAGTGTGAGTAAGTCTCAATGTCTGCTTTTTCTTCTTCTCAGCTCCTTGCTTTTATATTATTATTTCTTTTTTTCGCTTTTCTTTTCTTTTCTTTCTGTTTTGTTTTATTTCAAAAGTGATGAGAGACAAACTATGATTTGTTTTGTTTTTGTATGAGAGGCGAAGTAGAGTAAAACGCGTGCACTCAAGTCTGTAAAAGAAACAGAAATGTCAAGAAGAAGAAGAAGAAGAGAAACATAAATAAATGATTTACGGAAGTAAATTCTAAAAGAAAAAGAAAAAAAAAACAACAAAACAAATATGATAAGCAATAAAAAATTTAGTTAGTAAATTAAAAGAGAAAAATTGCAAACAATTCATACCAAAGGAAATAAATATAAAATTATGATAGAACTATAAGGAAACAGCTTTTAAAATATATTACAATATTGCTTAAACATTATTCACTTGATAGAAAGTTATCGACTTCATTAGAAGAAAAACATTCTAACAAAGAGATGAAACATTCATTTCGATTCATATTTCCATCGAACATCATGCCGACCTGTGAAGGCATATGAACCTGTATACGGAAATCAGGTTCGAAAGTAGGTATTCACAACTCGGGGACGTTAGAATAAGAAACGAAATGAAATGTTTCATATTGTAAACATAAGTAAAATTATATAAAATTAATTATTGTATATTTAATGCCATCAGTTTATACAAGTAATAGTATAAAGAATAGTAAGAAAGTATTATCATTTTTAATTAAAGTAAATAGTTGGAAGACCTTGATTATTAAACAAGTAAAAAATGATAGTGATTCATGGCCAATTATAGCCATACCATGTACGTTTGATACATCTGTTTATATAATGAGTTTTCAAAGTAAGGTATTATATCGGAAGGGCTCGAAAAAATGGTCCGATCCGAAAAATTCTTAATAGAGTTCGTCTTTGGGCCAAATTACACTGGCGCATTAAATTTTATCAATATATCTGGACCTGCAGGTTAAACACCAGTTTGCAAGATGGGCGGACGGAAGGACAGACAGGCTTCGATACATAGATAGATCGTTATAATAAACCATGGTTCTTTCCCAGGCCATTGTGGATGTTGTATACAAACTTAATATATCCTTCTACAACAGACGCCGTAGAGTATAAAAACAAGGCAGCATGCCTTCGATTAGTGCGGTTTACACCATAATAAAATTGAAAATTTACATAAATTAATTTATTAAAGACCAGATTTCGTCATAAAATATTAATAATTAAACCCTTTCTAATATATAAAGGGTTATTTTTCATTATAATTCCAAAAAGTGGCCCTACATGTTTCTAATTCGGTAAGACAAACTTTTCCGTCAGAATATCATTATGGACGAGTTTTCATCAAGAATCGTTGAACCAGAAGAAGCATTCTATCATATAAAGATTCGGTTTGCGCAGGAACCGTTACATGGCAAGGGGTCCAAAAAATGGCCCTGTCCGATCCAAAATTTTCACATAAATGTAGAATGAGGAAATACCATTCTTAAGAGATTTTTTAACGACTTGTCGAACTGCAACGTTGTAAAGGGAGCAATTGAAAAAGTGGTTCCGCCCTTGGGCCGAAACAAGTCGCTGTAACAAATTTGATTAAAAGATCTCAGCAATTGCCACCTGTAGGTTGAGTAGAAAAAAACAAGTTGGGCAGAAGGGCAAATAAGGTTCAGTACAATAAAACATGGGTCTATCTCAAGTCCTTCTGGTACTTTGGTTAGCGTGCTTCGTACAGAAAGAAAATTGAAATACTTTTTGTATACACTGAGCACTTCCATTAATTCTCATAGTTCAGAGTTCGTAAGAAGGATATATATATATATATATATATTTTCAAAATATTATCGATCACTAACGGGGCTTCGCGAATATCTCATGTAACTACTATGTTGCTGCCGCTTCCCTAACTTTTGTGTTTCCCCATTTCTTTTCAATCGAACAAAAGACGTCCCCCGAGTGATTAGTCGTATAATCAATAAATCTCATTTAAGTCTGAAGGAGCAGTCCTTCCTATCTCTTTACAATCGAGGAGCACCTTCTTTTTTTTAGCAGCAGGGAAGGATCGCAAGATGGTTGCGGTTCAGAAATCACGATCAATGAAGAAAATGAAAATCATCAGCCTGATCATCTTGATATTTGTTTGGTGTTATTACGAACAAAGGCCTTCTTTCTCGCCAAATTTTATCATATCTGAGTCCATATGCATAAAGTGAGAATATATAACGCAGTTTGGCACCCATAAATATCATTAGCACATTCCGATATTCATCAGATATGTTGTAAGCACCTCGACTAGGCAAATCAATTTTTCACTGATATATTCGCTTTTACTATTTGAATGTTACAATATCTTAGTTACGCAGAGTTAGATTATCTTGTTTCTTTATTGAGCCACGAATGCCTTTAGATACGAACTATAGTCATAAGACTGCACTTTATGCATACATTAGGGACCAAAGGGGAAATTGGAGGAGTTATTACATTCGACGTATTTTGAATATAACGATTCGACCGAATGGTAACACTATTTCGATATACAAAGCGAAGGTCTAGAGTAGAAGAAGATTGAACTTCCTTTTCTTTCTCGTCCGAAACGTCGACTAATAAACGTCGTAGCTGGGAATTTATAATCTTTCGAAATCCATTAGGATTGTCCACTGACAGATCATTGAGACTAATTTGTTAGAAAGTTGATTCGTATTGATCAATAAAAGGGGACGATAGGCCGCGAAATTATTCAATACCTAAAGAGTGATTATATCGTAGAACCCATGTTGAGAGAAACAAAGACTGGACTCTTATCTGTGAGAGGTCTAATTTAAATGCAGGTAAGTAAGAACGGCTAGGAATAATCGCTGATTGTTTAAGTTAAATTTTTTCGAATAGAAAAAATTTCAAGCTTGGCAATGTTTATTAAGGTCTCTACAGTG